TGGGAACCCACAGTGAGGCACGGTAAAGTGTCACAGGTGAAGGGCCTGAGTGCCCTGTGCCAGGTCGTGCCGACTTGGGGACCCACCTGGGGGGCTGTCGGGACCCACTCTGTTGGCAGAGCTCTGGAGCGCAGCCAGCCGGCTCCTCACGTTGCGGAGCCCCTCGGCGAAGCGGGTCTCCTGGACCTTCAGCAGCTGCTGCAACTGGCGGATGGCCGTGAGGACCTGCTGCTTGTTGAGGCAGCTCTGGGGACAGAAGGACCACCACCCACGATGGCTGGTTCACTCGCTCTCGGCTTCCAAAGCCACCCAGACCCCTGGCCCAACAGGGGGATGTGAAAGTGGCCTCATGGGCACCCGGCCCTGCCCAGAGTTCCCGCTGGACCACATGACGCCCCCACCACACCTAGCGTAGCCCCGTGCACCCTTCAACAAAAGCAAAACGCCCACCTTCAGAGCAAAGGGCAAAACGGGTGAGTCTATGTGACTGGGTGGGTGGACACTGGTCTGTACCCAGAGTGCCTCATATTCAGTAGCCTTCACTCCAAGATGTCCCCACCCTGCACTCTAAATTATGCTCTAAATCTGTGCCTTTGCCAAGTTTTTCTTTGTCCCTTGGGCTTTTTAAAAGCAGGTGGGCAATATGACCTACAAAACAGGCAAAACAGGAAGGCTCCATGGGCCCCATACTTTTAGCAATGTAACAGGCAAATAAGAAAACAACTATAGAGTTAGAGAAGCATTCAACAAAAGTCAAGGCCCAGTTCTGATAATATTTTAAAAGCTTAAAAAAAAAAACAGAAAAAGGACTTAGCTGGTTTGGATCAGTGGAAAGAGCATTGGCCTGAGGACTGATGGATCCTGGGTTCAATTCCGGTCAAAGGCACATGCCTGGGTTCAATCTCCAGAGTGGGGCGTGCAGGAGGCAGCCAATCAATGATTCTCTCTCATCACTGATGTTTCTGTCTCTCTCCCTCTCCCTTCCTCTCTGAAATCAATAAAAATTTATTAAAAAAACAAACTGAAAAAGGAGGCTTGTGCTCTGCATGATAAAGACTAACTTAAAGCTGCACCTGCATCATACTCAGTGATAACAGTTTTAAGGTTCCCAATCTCAGCTGTGCGTAAGAGCCAGGGCATGAGGAGAGAGGCTGGAGGAGGGGTAAGTACAGTGGGTGGTGACAGGATGTGGGGCTCACCTCCGTGTGGCCGCGTCTGACCTGGCCCATTACCTGCACGAAACAAAGGCGAACATTAGACGATA